AAAATATCTGTAAGGTTAGGTTTTCCATTCATTGGTTCTTTTGTCTTGTGACTTTCAGGAAGCCCTCTGGAGCTGTGTGCCATCTTTGCCTTGTTACCTGTTTCCCCTTATGTTTTTCAAGTGTTCTTAAGGTCCTTATTCTATGGTAATTCTTAAGGGAAAACAATTCTTTTTTTCAGAAAGTGCCTTTTTGGTGTGCTTGATCAGACAGAGGGCCCTTACCTGTGTTAGTCCAAAATTCTTGCTCGTGGTAGAAATTTTAGGAAAATGCCTAGGTATTCCCTGGCTATAACTAAATGTGTAAGCTGTTTATAGGTATACCAGTGATCACTTGGATAACTGACAAAATATTTGGAAAAAAAATTTAAGACCTTTCTCACACCGTTTCAGCAGAATAAATTCCCACTGGGTTAGAGAATTGAATGTAAAAATGCAAATATAAAATACAGTTGATATTTATCTGGCTTTTAGGTGAGTAGAGGAGTTTCTAAGTATAAAAGCAAAAGATGTTATAAAAATGATGAAGTATTTCCCTCATAGAAAAAGTCTCGGGCCCGGCCCGGTGGCGCGCTCGGTAGAGTGCGGCGCTTGGGAGTGTGGCGGCGCTCCCGCCAAGGGTTCAGATCCCATAGAGAGACCGGTCCGCTCACTGGTTGAGCGTGTTGCGGACACGACACCGAGGATTGTGATCCCGTTGCCGGTCGCGGTACGGGCGTGACACTGAGGGTTGCGANTAAAAGCAAAAGATGTTATAAAAATGATGAAGTATTTCCCTCATAGAAAAAGTCTCGGGCCAGCCCGGTGGTGCACTTGGTAGAGTGTGGTGCTTGGGAGTGTGGCAGCGCTCCCGCCAAGGGTTCAGATCCCATATAGAGACCGGTCCGCTCACTGGTTGAGTGTGTTGCGGACATGACACCGAGGATTGTGATCCCGTTGCCGGTCGCGGTACGGGCGTGACACTGAGGGTTGCGATCCCATTACCGGTCACGAAAAAAGACAAAAAGGAAAAAAAAAAAAGAAAAGGTCTCCCAGGGGACTCACTGGTTAGCTCAGTTGGTTAGAATGCAGCTTTCTAACACCAAGGTCACAGATTCAGATCCCCCTACTGTCCAGCTGCCAAAAAAAAGAAAAAGAAAGAAAAACTCTCACAGATGGATTGCATAAGCTATTTGGTTGGATTGTTTATTATCTTTTCATTATTTTATACTTATTTCACCAATGGCAATATCACCAAGCTCCTTTGTTTGTTGACCTTGTTGTACCCACTTTGACATTGTAC